TGATAGTATATATTTATTTTGTAAATAAATATATTGTACATAATTATAGGCATGTGATAAATAAGGATAAATACAGATAATTTAATATAATTGAACACCTATTTTCTTTGTACTTACACTTTTTACTTTTTGATTTTGGTAGTTCTGAGCAATGATTCTTAATTTTATGCATGTGGCAATCCATAAACTTCATATATAATATATATTTTGTATACATTATTTGTTAATACTTTATGTATTTTACATGCTTTTACTTTATATATTTTCCTGTGTAATTTTAACTTGATTTTGAAATATTGGAGCTCTGTTGCAGGAAATTGCTACATTTTCAAAATAATTTTTGTGCTATTAAATTCTACTACATACTGTTATATTTAAATTATCATCAATAAATGTGTTGCATAAGTCAATGGGATCAATGATACACACACGAAATGTAATAAATCATATAAAATTAAAATACGTACTGTAAGTCAAAACAGATGTCTTGGTTTTGGAGTTAAAATGGCTTTGATTACGAGGCCTAGCATAAAAAGATGGATAAAGGCAGCAGAGTTACATTATCTTAATCATTATATAAACATTTGATAAATAAAACGAACATCCATTCATTTTCTCACGTTAACATTTAGGGCAATTTCTACAAACACATACGTTCAAAACATATCTCAATGCGCATTGAGCATCATTCACAAATATGCTAGACGATGTGGTCGAGAATCCTATGAGGCAACAGATCTTATTTATACAGTTAGACCGTATATATACATTCAAGTACCTATTGTTACAGCTTGAAATAATTTTACCAGTTCTAAGATAAACCATTTATTTTCCATGTCACATCCGGAAATGATATATGTATTTGTATAAACCATGTTTGTAATATATAAGCACTACCTATGCAGTTTTAAAGGAACAATATATCAATATTTCAATACCAAAAGGTAATAAAAATACCAATAGACGAATGCTTAGAGAAAAATTATTATTATTATACGGGCTGCGTGAGAGCTCATTTTTATTGTACAAAAGAAAATACAAGATGTTTGAAGGCAATTCACAGTACACTCGCTAATTAAAAACTGTTAAACAGTACGCTGCACTGACTTCAGTAATCAGGCGTTTGTTTGTAAATACGATCACGTCACATGGCCAGTTGGTTTTGATATGAGTGCGTATATTTGACTATAGAGTGCGATACTACGGTACTCTCCAAGATGGTGAATAATCAAGCACCTCTCCAAGCTGCAGCTTGATTCGTTACCGAAGCTGTATACAGAAATTTTCTTTGCTCTGATTGACTAACGATTCATTGTTGAAACAGGATCCACTGCGGATTGGATGTGCAGTAAAATGGTGGGGATGTGCGTGCCAGCTTAGGGAGTAAGAAAAGTGTGCAAGAGTAGGTCTCATTACTGTATATTTATATATATGCGCAGAGCTTTCAGATACTTCACCGCTGTACGACTTTCTTCCAGAAGAATGGATCTTTGAATTGGGGAATTACCCATCACAAATAGGATTGGGTGATGCCAATGGATTTCCATTGGCAATCCATTGGAATTGTCCAATCCCATTTGTGAGGTCACCTTTCCACTACTCGGAGCAGATTCCGAGCAAAATACCTGACACCATTGGATACACTAGACACCAATGAACACACTGGCCTTGAGTGGAAATTTCAAGAACTAGACGCCTGAGAGTTCTGGGTGTTCATGGTGTAAATTGACAAGAAGAGCAAAACATATCTCAATTAAGGCTGGTGGTTCGTGTTATCAAAACAATATTTGTCAACATATCTTCTTGGTCTTTTAATGAAAAAAGAAATTCTATGTTATAAATATTATATTTTTACATTGTATCACATCCTTAATAGATAGAATGTCAATGCCTGAAACATATCAAGCAGAATTAATAACTCTAGCAGAATTAGCAGGAGTTTCAGCAGTTCCAGGAGTTTATCGGTAATTACTTATAAGTATAATGACATTCAATAATCTTATTTATATAATTTTTTGCATTTCGTCTTCTTTAAGATTTCGCTATTATAAACCGAATGCTGTGAATTATTTTTAGAGTGATAATGGAACTTCTGGCATTACACATATCCCCAGAGGATATATATTTACTTCTAAAACAAATATACCTTCAATCAAGTCAAGAATCTACAGAGAATTCTGAAGAAATAGCTAATGTATTAAAATCTAATTAAAAATGTATTTTTTACAATTTATATTAATCTATATTAAATTATCTTTCCACAAATGTAGTTTATTCATTACAGTTTTTATAGAATTTTTTGCATCCTGCTTTTCATGATCACCTTTGCCATATGACCATTAACCCCTTGCCATACTTGAACGAGTCAGACTCGTTTTGGACATTTCTAGTAATGTCCTGTTATTTTGTTCTTTTAAGCTAGAATAAAATTGTGTCCTCATAAGATCAATATTTATGTAAGCACGCAATAAATATAAATTTTATTTTACTTCTATGAAATTATTACAATCGAGAAGGTGCTTATCATTGTAACTATGAAGAAAATGGTATGGCAAAGGATTAACATGTTTCTGTAATATAGTTTCATGAATAGATCAAAACACAAGATTAGTATATTGTTTTATTATAATTCACACCTATAAGGTTAACGATAACTTCTGACTTACATTTTTTTGATATATGTATTATATACATATACATTTACACTTAGTCTCATACTAACATTCCTATACATTCTAGGTCCCCGTGGCAAACTATAAGGACTTATACCTATCTTGCACCGTTTCTTTGATCTGTTCCTCATTTCTTTGTTTGTTGCTAGTTGTCTATTATACTGTGTTCTCCTTTTCCTTTTCTTTTCTTTGCTTGCTCCATTTCCCCTCTTTCTCTTTTCCTTCACTTCCTGTTCCCCTTTTTTTTCTTGTCCTTTCTATTACCTTCATCTCTTTCAATTCCTCCTCAGTTTTGCTCGGGAATTTTTCCATTTCCTTACACCTGTACAGCATATGACTTATTGTCTCCTCTTCTTTGCAGATCCTGCATACTTCGTCCTCCCATTTCCCCCAATGTTTTCTTCCCTTGAACTCATTGCCACATCTGTACCTGCCAATAAGACTCTCTCTCTCTCTCTCTCTCTCTCTCTCTCTCTCTCTCTCTCTCTCTCTTCTATTCATTCTCTATTAGATATTTTGGTTTCTGCATTGGTAATATATTCCTGTAATTCTCATTATATTTGTATGGACTCTTTAATATTCTGCTTTTTCTTTCATTTCTCTATCTCTTCTATTCTTTTCCCTATCTTACCCACTACCCCTACTATGATCCCTCTTTCTTGCTCTCTTAATCTTTCTATATCATACTTCATTCTTGTAGTCTCTTTCCTTACAATGTAGTTAGGCGAGATCGTACCTTGTTCCAAAATCCACTTCGTGTATCTTCTTTTTATTATGTTATTTTCTTTTTCCTATCTCCCAAGTTTTTATTCTTCTTTCACTGCCCATTCCTTACATTTGTTATGGTACAATTCCACTTCTCTTATTGTCCAATCTCCTTTCCAGATGCTTCTTCCTTACTTCTTCCTCTGTCTTTGTCTTCCTCTTGTTGAGCTGTTTCACTTGTCCTCACTTAGAAAGTCTGATTCCATGGTCCATTCCTTTGGTTTGATTTCTTTCGTTTTTTTTCTCTTACCTCCACCACTTTCTCCAGTAACTTTACGTTTTCTATCATGTAGTTTATTTACCGACATGCCATTTTCTCCTATATGTATATGTCCATTCTCGTTCCTTCTCGAAGTATTCATTTATTATAACCCAACCTCTCTCTTTTATTCCTTCAACTAATTCTCCTCTTTTATTTTTCTGTCTGTCGATCTCTCACTCATTTCCTCTGTTTTCATCTCTATACATGGTTATCCTTTTCCCCCACCCTAGCATTGAAATCCCCTCCTAATATTAAATATCCTCCCCTCTTCCGAGACGCTGCGGCAGTAGTCAGGAGGCGGAGCCCAATGTTGCGTTTCGAAGCCGTACGAGCACTGATGTAGACTGTCGACAATCGCTGTCCCGTGTGTGATAGCCAGCATTATGTGGCCATATGTAAACTTGGTCTCTCTCGACGCACGCAATCCAAAATTGCTCTACGCGACATCAATTTCCTAGCAACACTGGTTACCAGCAGTGTGGCCATTTGCCTGAAACGCAGGTACGTGCCTCGCGTCTGGACGTTCCTCGAAATCATCTACAAACCTCCTACTCCTACTGAAAAGCGAACATCAAAACGGCGGAAATGCGTCGCGTAGCAAATAGCTGATCTAAGTCGCATCTATGTTGCAGGCAAATGGCTACACTGGTTGCCAGTAATGTTGCTAGGTCAAGTGCGATGTCAGTGCTTTTCGTGGTGGAGGGGATAACGAAGTGTTGAAAACTATGCTACGTCACTCCAGAGCTCTCAGATGCCTGACTGCTTCCTTACGACTTTCTTCCAGGAAAGTAGAAGTGGCAGAATTACCGATCACAAATTGGATTTGATTGGCAATCCATTAGAATAGTCTAATACCATTTGTGAAGTCTCATCTCTGCTACTTGGAGCAGATTCTGAGTAGAATTCCTGATACCAATGGACACACTGGCCTTAAATGCAAATTCCAAAAACGGTTAGGCGCCTGAAAGCTTTGCATCACTCTGATGTACCGCAAACACAGAGGGTGGCCTCACGAGAGAACTCAGAAACTACCTACAATAAGTAGGTATTCATTATAT